TTTTTTTTTCTGTAAAACCCCCCCCCCCCCCCAACAACAAATGCTGCATAAACAGTAAAGTTCTCACACCACAAAGGAGCAAGCCAGGCACGTCTATAGAGCTCAACACCGATTTTTGACAGGAGCAAGGATTTGAGACTATATAACAGATTTTTTTTAGAAGAATAACGTTTTACCGAGTCAAAAATACTGATCCCCTAGCTACTAGTCCTTCCCACCCATCTTAGAATTCGCCCCGCACGGTTCCTTTGGCTACCTTTCCAGTAAGCTGTCTTTGGGGTGGCTGTCTGCTAGGGAGATACAGAAAGTTTGCTACTTACCGTTTACTATGAACAGCAGGGGTGCATTTAACATCAGGTAACAAAGGGCGCTGAACAGCCCTCGATTTCCCATTTCATATATGTAGACTTCAGGGTGGAGGGCAAGCCGAGAATTTAGCCTGACCAAAACGCAGCTAAGAAATCTTCAGTCCCATTGCAAAGAGAAGACGTGTCTCTGACACTACGACTGTTTCCAAAAAAAGAAAAGCAAACAGTCTCCACGCTAACTTAAAAAAAATAACGTTTAGAAGCAAGTATAAAATCCACAGCCAGCCGATCAAACGCGCTGTCGGGTGGAAGCGTAGTTCCTGAGGATGAAATTCGGAATCTGGTCTCGGGTATTTTCCCCCACTCGATTCTACCCAACAGTAAACGGGATTCAACTTCCTTGTGTTGAATAGGATTTCTTGCTGTCCAGAAGCAGGGAAAGGATCCTGGGCTCCCCTCCAAGACCCATCACAATGGCAAGTGTGGCTCAGATTTGAAAGGAAGGTCTAATGAGGCGGCAAGGATTATTCTCTTCCCTCTAAAGCTGGGGAGCAATCGATACGTTCCTGTTTGTGGCCCGGGGTTTCTCTGCCTGCGGTGGGGATGGCTACAGTCAGGAGGCGCTTTGGCAGTCCAAATCCGCCGTTTGCTTGGCGTGCGATGTGCAGTCCAGACCGGGAACTAAACCAAAGGGTCCCCCCTCCCCCCAACTCTCAAACCAACACGCTCTTCGACCTGTAAGAGGAAATTTGCAATCGATACGTTCCTGTTTGTGGCCCGGGGTTTCTCTGCCTGCGGTGGGGATGGCTACAGTCAGGAGGCGCTTTGGCAGTCCAAATCCGCCGTTTGCTTGGCGTGCGATGTGCAGTCCAGACCGGGAACTAAACCAAAGGGTCCCCCCTCCCCCCAACTCTCAAACCAACACGCTCTTCGACCTGTAAGAGGAAATTTCACGAGCTGACGTTCCAGCGTAGCGCAGCGGTAACACCGGTCTCTTTCCCCATTCCCCGCAGCCACGCGGCTGAGTAGAAAGCGCCCACAGTTTGTGTTTATAATCTCTCAAACAAGGCAGGACAAAACCAGACAAAATCCCTGCCTGGCCCCGAACCCCTCCTACTGCCCACCGCGTCCGCTCGCCTGGGGTCTTGTTACACGTTTGCTAGCGCGGGCACCGGGCTCGGGGGAGGGGGAGATTTGCTACGCGAGTCTGTTCACTGCTCCCCTCTACTCCCACCGCAGCGCTTACACCATCGGCATCCGGAGTGGAGGG